TTTCTCTCTCTCTGCAGATTTTACAAAGCCTCTGTGGCCATTTCAGTTCTAACGAGGGAACTCTTTCTCTCAGCCATAAGTTGCAGTTATTAACAGAATTACATCCCACAGCTTCTGAAGAGGCTCCAGCCACTCCATTTTCTGACAAAACCCAAAACTTGTCCCTGGTTTTTATTAACCAGTGCAACTGCTTTGAACACCTCAAGGAGAAAGACGAGGACTTAAAGCCCTGTTTGTATAATAATGGCAGCTCTGTGCATACTGTTGGGCCCAACTCTGAAAACATCCCATCTTTTGTCTCTGCCACCAGCAGCAGCTTTAGGATCCTGCCCCACCACAACACTCCCTGGGCACTGCCCAAATCCTTGCCAAGCTTTCCATCACACCCACGGAGCAGGGATGGAATTCACCCCGAGATGGAATTCACACACCTCTTGCTGTGAGCCCCCCTTGGTGGGCAGGGAGGTTCATTTTGAACAAAGCTCTGCATCAGGGAGGGATGGTGAATGTGAGTGTGAGCAGTGAGCTGGCACAGGAGGGCACAGCCGCAGCTCTGGGCACAGTGGGAATCCTCTTTCCCAGACCAGGACCTCTTTTACCATCCTTAGTCCTTCATTCCTCAGACGTGGGTAGAGTGTTTGTGTCTCCCTAATAACAGTTGCAGGGGTGGTTTGGTGGGAAACTGCACATTTATGCAGATACTTTTATGCATCTTTTAATTCCAAGTTTATTAAAGACATTTTTGAAGGGACAGTTCTGAAAAAAGGATCCATGTTTGCAATTTTTTATGTTAACAGTTTATTTACTGATTTATTTCAGCTGCTGATCTCTCCCTAACTATTGCATCTGCACTCCTCTTTCCCAGCCCAGGACGTTTGGGATGCTGCTGGGATCTCCAGCACAGGTGGGCACAGGTGGGTGCTGCTGCCTCCCCCAGGCACTCAGGGTGTCCCAGAGCTGCCTTCAGAGCTCCCTCCTGGCTGGGTTTGGTGCTCCCAGCCCAGCCCAGTCTCTGTGGGCTGCTGAGTTTGCTCCTTGTGAGCACCAAGTTTTGCATGTCCCAGAGCTTCAACCTCAGAGCATCACAGGAGCAGCCTTAGGGAGGGAAATGGGTCTGTCTGAACACCCCAAATTCCTCTTTCCTGCAGTTCCAGAGCTCTGGGTGCAGTGCTGGTGCAGTGACACATTTACTCACTGTGTAACTGTTGTTCCTCAGGGCAAGAAGAGTTTAGCAGGGTCTGCCTCGGATAATTTCAAAACTCAGAGCATCCCCCAGCAGAATTTCTGGCAGAAACAAAACTAAAGTTGCTAAACAACAAAGGAACTAAAGCTGCTGCATTTGACAATTGTAATACACATAAGATTAAAAATTCCCTAAGAAATAATTCCTTCTGCTTTTAATAATAGCTTCAGTTAGGGACCTTTTCTACTTAATCAACCTGCTTAAAATTCTTGCCTCCAGCAGGAAAGAATCTCAATCACAGGGAGACAAACATTCATTAAGCCTTGTACAATAAACCTGCTCTGCAGCTGAAGTGCTATTAATATCATTTTACAGAAAGAGGAAATGGAAGAATAGTGAGATGGGAGTAACTTGCTCGGGGTCACAAAAAGGTTCACGAAGCCATGGTCGAGTAGTAAACCTTGAATGGAGAGCTCTGCCCCAGAGCCAGCACTGCCTCCCTCGCTGCGCTTTTCCACACTCCGCTGTTTACCATCCATTACTGGTTTGATTTTACAGCCATAAATTTTATAAGATGTGGATACATTGTTTTCTTGGAGATCTGAACGTTTAACACCAACGCTTCAACGTTCCACTCCTCAACACCAAGGCAATTCCTTTCATCCTCACTGATATCCCTAATTAATGAACACTGGGAAAGGGGTGCAGCTCCCTCACTGCCCACTTCTCTCCCAGTACAGAGAACTTGGAGGAATCTGGCAGGCAGCAGCTTTCCCTGCAAATAAACAAACAAACAAATAAACAAATAAATAAATATTAAAAATTAAAAATAAATTAAATAAAAATAATACAAATAAAAAATAAATAAATAAAAATGAAAAACAATACATACTAAAATACATTAAATAATAAAGTTAATAATAATAAAAGAGAAAAATTTAAACATGGAAAATAAATAGAATATTTAAAACAATTAATAAATAATTCATAAATAATAAAGAATAATTTTTAAAATCCCAGACCAACAGATATGATGGGTTTTGTCACAGATTTGTACTTCAGAGAAGTATCCTTTACTGAGAATTTATACATTGATTTTAGTCCTATGAATTAGATATAGATATGGAGTTGTTCCTACTGTGTTGTACTGGCTGGGCAGGAAACAGGGCAAGGAGAGCTCAAACTGCAACATCTGACAAAATATTTTTAAATTATTTTTTTCCTACTAATATTTTCTATTTTTATAGATTTAAATATTCAAATATAGATGTGTATTTCTATATCTACCAATTGTATGTATGGGCAAAGGGGATGAAAAGTAGAACCTCTTTCCCAGTTTAACCTTGATCCAGTGCCAGATGCTCGGGGGACCTGCAGCATCTCTGAATGCACTGGAGTAGAAATTCCACGTTCAGCTCAGCTCATTGCAGTGCCCGAGGACTTCTCAAGCAAAGAGAGCTGTGGCACCAATCCCAGCTCTGTGGGTGTCAGCGTGATGGGCACTACACTGGAGGTTCTCAGTGGGTATTTTGGCCAAGGAACCTCTGGGAACAAGGAGAGCCCGGGGAGAGGCCCAGCAGTGAGCACAGGGAGAGCAGAGAGTGCTGAACCTGGAGAAACCGGGACAGGGCTGGGAAAGGCAGAGAGATGTTTGGGGAGGGCTGGGAAAGGGGAGGGAAAGGCAGTGAGATGTTTGGGGAGGGCGGCCAGGGAAGATGCTCAGCTCTCGCAGGG